CTATTAACCACAGACTAAATGTACCATGATGTTCGACATTTAGATAGATAGATAGATAGATAGATAGATAGATAGATAGACTTTATTGATCCCAAGCTGGGAAATTGCAGTAGGGTTATGCAGAGAGGTATTATCAGTTCTTTTAAGGATCCACCTACAGTAACTTTTCTGGATTCCTTCTCTGGATGAATGGCATTTAATTAGGGGAGGAAGCCAGGAGAGCTCGAGGTGAAATAGTTTGTGTCCAGTTGTCGCTATAGATTCTGCTAGAAACCCCTAACTGTAATACTATGCAGGCCAATATTGATCCCTATGTCCCACAACACACTCAACAAAACCACCTAAGTCTTCTCCAATTTATCTGAAGTTAAAGGTCTCTTACTGGCACAAAACCCTCTCTTCTTGGACTTCTTGTACTGTATCAGATTATTTTCTACAGGATCAGCCATCTATATCTCTATCTAAGCTATTTTGGCGGCTATCTGGACAGCATTCGGCATTTCAGTGTAACTATCACTTCGGAGTAATGATCATGTTCAATAAAACACGGTGTGTGATATTACTGTGGCTTACCTCTGCAACTTTATGGGGTACTCCATCTCCCAGCACTTCCCTGTAGAAGCACTGCTGGGTCATGTAATAGGTGATGCCACTGGTTCTCTTGAAGGCATCTTTCAGCCGCTTCAATTCCACATCTGTGACTAGAGAGAGGAAGACACGAAAAACAGAAGTGATTATAAGCAAACTTGATATGTTCTGTCACTGTTAACGGGGCCTACAGTGGGGCTCGGCGTATTGATGAATAAAGTCCATCACCGGTTCACAAACAAAAAAATACAATGAGTTGAAGAACTAGTGAGAGGTAGGGGTGTAACAAAGTATTGTATCGCAATATTTTGTTTTTTGATATAGTATTGATTCTCAAAAACATTATCGATTTTTATATTAAAAGCTCCAAACACTAGATAGTAGGGCTGTAAACTGAGGGCTATGATGTTGGATGTTACAATGTATCACCTTGCTTCAAGTATCACAATATATATAACCCCTACATCGTGATGCGTATTGTATCACCAGATTCCTGCCAATACAGCCCTAGAATGAAGCGTTCACTCTGACTCCAGGGAAGACAAAGACTGGCGGTGGTTTGCCAGTTGTTGGGCTGACGGAGCCCAGTTGTAAGAAAATATCAGTGCATGAGTACAGTATCGCGATATTATGTTTTGTGATGCTGTATCGATTCTTAAAAATACTGTAGCGATTTTTAATTTGTAGTTTACATGCAAATATTTGTGGCTGATTAATTTTGTGTTTGTGTTTAAACCACCAAACACTACATAGCAATAGCATAGCAGTGTGTAATCTATCTTCAAATCCAGATCAGGCACTCTTATGTAGAAATGAGCCGACTTCTGACTTGATTTATGAGCTCAGTAAACAGTTTCCGGATGAGTTTATGCTCTCAATCTCTAGTTTCAGTCTTCCATACAGAATGATATTCATTTAGTAAATGATGGTCCCATTTAGAGTAAAATAGACCATAAAGCAAGGTATGCTTCTGGTCGTGAGATTGACATGTCATTATTATTATTTGAGTGCTATAAACCATTCCTTTCACTTCCACTGTAGCAAAACATTTTCAAAATTCCCAGCAGAAGAACCCCAAACTATAAGCAAAACTGCACTTGATTAGGCAAAAGGCCATAATGTTTGGTTATTGTGCTTTGGCTAAAACAACCCAAAAATAGTCTGACAGATGCTGCCTTAAATGGACCAGCTGCTTACAGCAGGGTATACAATGCAACTGTGTTGACAAATCTTTTGCACATATTTAAATTTAAAATTTTTACATGCTTACACACACACACATAAAAAACCATTTAGAGGTTTACCACAAACCACGGCCTTGTACTGAAGAATTACCAAGTCATCAGCACCTCGACACTACTGCAGTAAAAGCTGAGTACTGAGTGATAGAGTGTTTGCAGCTTAATGCGTCGCATACACCACAGCTACATGATCAACAAGTCACCAGAAGTTAATCTTTTAACCACAGAGCTGACACTCAGATGATGTGTGAACAATCTGACAGCGATTATGAATGATAATGGATGGTAATAATATGTCAGCCCATAACAGCTCACGTCATATTTCAGCCAGTCAGAGACAGACGCAGAGAAGAACTGACCATTTACATTAAATGATGGGGGCCACTGGGGGCCTTTTTTGTGTGATTCATATATGTATTCTAACTGTTGTTTTTGGTTTGTTTTGTTATTGTTTAATACTTTCAAAAAGCAGTGCAATTGTTTTTCCGATCCAAACTTTCACTATATCCTGAACATGAGACCAACAGTTTGCCATAAAATCAGGTTCCTTTTGACTCTTCCTAGTGATCCTAATGGTCTTTACAAGAATCTACCAGACCTGAATGAAAACAACCAATCAGAGCCTAGAAAGATAGCTGATTTTTGAGTCTCATTCCCAGGGTGTCAAATACAGACACTTTTGGGACTTGTCTCATGTACTACTGTCAGGATGTAGGGAACAGCTTTAATGTAGACTGGTCAGTAAAGTTTATTTATTTGTTTTATGTTAAGTCAATATAAAGTTAATATACCTCATATGTGTGTTGCTGATAGTCCAAACCACAAAACACACAAAAAGAGGTGAAAAAACAAACAAACAAGGTTTGCCTAACCCTAACCATGGCTCTAAAATCGAGATCTAAACCCAGTCATGGAGCTGGAGAATTGCTCTCTTATATCAAACGTATATCTATGTTTTTGGGTAAGAAAGTAAACAGGTGACTGCAGAAAGTGTTGAACTCTCCCTTTAATTCATCAAAACTAGGAAAAAAGTGCTGGTGTATATTATGCTCACGGTGTGAAGGTAAAGTTTCAGAAATGAGAATATGTCCAACACATCGCTGCTCTTCAGCCCCTGGTTTCAACATAATAAAACTAGCTAAACACACACACATTCACTTCAACACACACACACACACACACACACACAAACACACAGAGTTCAGGGTTTTTCCTGTGTGATGGCTTGTGCATCACACAGGAAAAGGTACAGAGCTGTTATCAGCAGCAGCAACAGCCACGCAGCACTTCATATAAACACACATCGTATTGTCCACTGCTGCACTCCGGTAAAGGCACACAGCGTGTGTGTGACACCGGGACGTAGTCCCATCAGCAACAATTACCCTGCTGGCTCTGCTGCTGCAATGAAACACATGCAGCTATATTGTCTCTACATCCAGATCAAACACTGATGGAGCTTTCCAGACACAGCTGCACACACTGCACCGGCTACTGGTTAAACTGGACCGTCACCACTAAGGGCTGGTAGAGATGTGGAGACATTAGTGCTGAAACCACTAGAACTCATAATGATAAATGAATAGGTCCACTGAGCTAACATGAACAGAAACGACAATTTTGACCACTGATTAATAATTTAACCAACTAATTTATTAAAACATACATACAAGATAGATTTGCTGGCAAGAAATACAGCTTTGTTGCTGCACTCTGCTTTCTACAAATATAAAGAGAATATATTCGGGATTTAAGCACAAAATAAGCAATTTAGATGAAATGATTCAAAAATAATAATAAAAAATAAAAATAAAAAAATAAATAAAATGGACTGACATTAGACATTTATTGCTGCCTTGTAGACAGGGTGGCTATAAAATAAAAGCCATGTGTACTGTACAGACTGAAGGTTACAGCAAACAGAATGAAGGCTTTGTGATAACAGGAGCATTTTACATCCCAGCTACAGGGCAACAAATATTGTGTTACAGCTTCCTACCCTGGAGTGTAGCAATGTCTTTAAAACTTGCATTAGAAGTGCTGGAAAGGTTACTGCATTATTACCACAATACTGCAGTATCATGAAGCCTGCTGCGAGGCTGAACTCATTACCATTATCACTACTTTTGTTCTTTCTCTCATTTCACCCAAGCAACCACATCTCTCCATCAACAATGGGGTCACATTACTGTTATGGTGATTCAAACATAACATTTCTGTACACAGTTCGCCATTCAAGATGTCCACAGCACAACAACAACACAATATCACGGTAAGCAATACATATAGAATTGTTCCTGTTCAATGGAAATGCTGTGCAGCATCTTGGGCTCTGATTACAACTGATCAGTACTGTTTCCACACTGTAGCGGCTGAAAACATCAGCATGAAGGGAACTGATGACAACCTTGCATATCGTGTATTCTTGATTGCTATGAAGTGGTGCATGCATGACCAGGGGAGAAATATGGAGTGGAACCAAAGAATAAATATGATTTATGTATGGAAAATAAACAAGAGTTCGCTGATGCTACTCTGCTGACCTTTATTTCTCTAAAATTCAACTTGGATCCTTTTTGATTAGTTTTGGTTCCCCTTTCATTGTTTAGGATTGCTAAGAATTCTAGATAAAATAGAAAACCTTTTTCTGGATTCTGAAGGGGAGCATGGCAGAAAAAGATTTTAAGATTAATTGACCAGCAATGAATCATGACCACGCCAGGAAGTTCTGTTCCTATTGTAACTTACTGCAACCCACCAGTTGCGACCTAAAAGTGGGTCATGGACTGTGTGGTAAAAAAATAAAACCTTTTTTAAATGCTAAGCTATCTGATGTCGGTGTCTGTTCAGTAAAAACACCCCGTTTTATTATGCCGTTATGATGAATTTGAGAGAATCAGCAGCATACAGTCGTGATGTTCATTAATAGAGTAATATGCTCCGAGTGTAGAGATGAAAATATGTGTATATTCCAAAAAAAGACTATATGTGTGTTTACTAGCCATGTGACTGCTGTGTGTGTGTGTGTGTGTGTGTAATGTCAGTCTTGGCAGTGTGTTTTTGTGTTGATGTGTGTAGAAGTTTGATCTAACAGTAACCTCCCTGAATGTGAGGATGTAAATCTGCGTATATTTAATGTTAAAAAGGGTCATGATGACAGTGTATATGGGTTCACTAGCCTATTAGAAAAACACATTTACACCGTGTTTAGGTCGGTTACATGTGACTCTAAACTCTTCTGACACCGGCCTGTAGAGGGCAATAGAGTCCATATACATCACGTTGGGTGGCAACACATTACAGCAATCTACTACTTGTACTGCAAAGTCATGTAATAAATTACAACTGCAAACCTTATAGTTAGAACTACAAAATCAAGCAAATAAAAACTACTACATTATACTGACAATCAATCAACCTTACAGCTGCCTCAACATTTAAAAGTATTACTACCACTGCTTCTTATTAGTGTTTTAGACTTCTAAAAGGAAATCAGTTAAAGATGATAGGTTATACTTGGTGTTTACTCAACATTCACAGCAAGTTGAATATCAAATCTACTTAAATTACTTTTATCCAGCTACAGAAAATGGGTGCTTTGTTTTTAGAGATGGCCCTACTGTCTTTGTCTTAATTGTACTCAAACACAAAAGAATTCTAGCAGCGCAAAAAAACCTAATCCACAGAACAAACTTGTAAAACAAAGACCTTATAATTTGACTTTAGAGTCAGCAAAAATGAAGCTCCGGAGGGGAAAACACATCAAGTGTGTACACGGAACTGGATTGAAATTCTTTTCTCACTCTTCACTGTCTCACATAGTCCAACAACAGCGAAACTGAACATGACCCATGTACACAACAGTCAACATT